TGTTTTACTTCCAGCGGGAGGGCCTGTGATTCTCCCAAACCTCAGATACCCCATGAGTGCTAGGGTCACCTTCCCTTCCCTGTGAGTGTTGGTGTAAAAAACAAATAGTTAGAGATATAATAGAAAAATAATAAAACCTTACATTTGTATAGCACTTTATACTTTTTTTTTCAAAGCGTTTTCACATCCATTATCTCATTTGATCCTCACAACAACCTTATGAGGTAGGTAGGGCAGGTGGTATGACCCCCATTTTACAGCTGAGAAAACTGAGACCCAGAAAGATTAAATGACTAGGCAAAGATCACACAGCTGGGACCAGATCCTTACCTCTGTGGGTCCTTGTTCTTTCTGTGTACCAGGGACCTTAGTCCTTGGGTAGAGGGAGGCAGAATCTATGGTAGCAGGGCTTTCTTGAAGGTCTTTGGTGGCTCCTAGGCTGTCGTAGAGTGTCAGAGACTCTCTATCCCTAGCCAACCTTGTCCTTGATGCCCTGCAATGGTGGTTTTCAAACTGTGAGTGCATGTGTTCCAAAAAGTCCTCAATCACATAAACTGATGGGTTGAACTTGGCCTTCCCATGCATATCTCTTCCTTCCCCAAATTGGATTAAACCAGAAGCGCTCCATTGTCATCTAGTTTATGTATTGGAGTTCCAGTCAACATTTTGTTAAAGAAAAAAGCAAAGATTTCTGCTAAATAAAAAAGAACCAGAAACATTTGAAAACCACTGCTTTGGGATGGCAAGAATTTGGCTGGTACCCTAGGGTGGTAAAAGGTATCCTGCCAGGCAGCCGTCATTCCCCTGCACTGAGCCATCTGCACAGAGCCCAATGTTATGTCAGAGAAGGGGACAATCTGAAGAAAGGATACCACCTTTAGGCTGTGAGTTCACAGCCAGTTTTAATTCAAATCTAGCCCAGCGTGGTAGGCACAGTCCCCATTTTCAGGGCTTCCGGTATGTGCAGGAGGTAGGATTCAGACATTCAGGCAAACCATCAGCTTAAATTCTAGGCCTAGGCTACTTGCAGAAAACTTCCCAGAGGAGCATGGCCTTGAGAATGGTTTGGCAGGAGAGTGGTAGGAAGTGGGAGATGGGAGAGCAGGCTCAGTGTAGGGGAATTGGTGCCCCCCATCTCCCTCCACACTTCACCCCTCACCCTGGGCTCTCTGTACCACCCAGGGTGTCAGAAGGGTCCCTATAGCTAGTTGCTTCCTCACCAGAGCTGAGACCCAGTTGCCTCTACTCCTTTCCCAAGGCTGCACTTCCAGTGCTTGCCAGCAGCACACGCCCCTAACTGATGTGTTGCACATCCCAGGAGGTGGTGGAGGAGGTGGGTGGTGTGTACTTGGTCTGAGGGCGAGCTGTCTTGTCATGGATTGTATCACCTCCCAGGCCCCATACCCTGAACAGCACCAGCATGTCTAAGGCATATCAGAGCACCTTCACAGGCGAGACCAACACCCCGTACAGCAAGCAGTTTGTGCACTCCAAGTCATCTCAGTACCGGCGGCTGCGCACCGAATGGAAGAACAACGTGTACCTGGCTCGCTCCCGCATCCAGGGCCTGGGGCTCTATGCAGCTAAGGACCTAGAAAAGCACACAATGGTTATCGAGTACATTGGCACCATCATTCGGAACGAGGTGGCCAACCGGCGGGAGAAAATCTACGAAGAGCAGGTATAAGCTGACAGAGGGGCCATTGTGGTGCATAGTCCTCACTCAACCAAGGAGCAAGGGTCAGGATTGGTCATAGGAGGGCAGGAGGAAAGCTGTGGTGGGGAAGGGAAAGGCAGGAGAAATGAAGAACATGAGCCCACTGCCTGAGTCTCCTACGTGATCCCACTCTCTGATACTCTTGTCCCTTCTTCTGCAACCTCTGCCTTTCTAGAATCGAGGCATCTACATGTTCCGAATAAACAATGAACATGTGATTGATGCTACGTTGACCGGCGGCCCTGCCAGGTGAGAGATGACGAGGAAGGAGGGAAATTAATGGTCCCTGAGTAGCACTCTGGGGGATAGACAACAAGGAATCAAAATTTTCCCAAGTTAGTTGCCTGACATCCCTGACTCTGTCCTTCTACCCAGGTACATTAACCATTCCTGTGCCCCTAACTGTGTGGCCGAAGTCGTGACATTTGACAAAGAGGACAAAATCATCATCATCTCCAGCCGGCGAATCCCCAAAGGAGAGGAGGTGAGAGGAAGTATCCTGAGTGAGTGACAAAGCAGCTACTACTCCTTTCACCCCTTCTCTGCCATTCCCTAAATGTGGGTTCCTAGGCTGCACACCTCAGATCGTATCTTCTCTGCCCTCTCTTCTTCCTGTGGGGGCTAGCATTGATTCTGCCCTCTTCTCTTTTCAGCTAACCTATGACTATCAGTTTGATTTTGAGGACGATCAGCACAAGATCCCCTGCCACTGTGGAGCCTGGAATTGTCGGAAATGGATGAACTAAGAAGCTTTGAGGCTACCAGGCAGGGGAGTCCCCCTACCCACAACCTCTTCCCTGAAAGGGTTGAGGGGGAAGAGAGGTAGCAGCCGGAGCCAGGACCCAGGGCTGGGGCTGCCGGCTGACCGGAGCCCCTGGAGCAGGAGGCTGGGGCAGAGGGCCCTAGGCCAAGCCCACCCTGGGCACCAGGGACAACCCTCTTCCCCACCACCGGCCCTCAGGCTGGCATCTCTGCCCCCAGCTCCAGGAGGGGCCAGACAGAAGCAGCCATTGGGCATCTCAGGTTTGAGGGGGATATGGGCCGGGAACTACCCAGAAGCATCTGGGAGGCAGCAGGGTGGGGGAAGAGGATGTGTGGCCGGGCCTCACAGCCCTGCTGCTCCCACTGACCTCTCCGGCCCAACTCAAGGCTGCAAAGAGACTTGACTAAGCTTGACAATCCCAAAGGCCGGGTCCCACACCTGGCCCTGCCTGCCGGGTCCTGCCCCCACCCTCACCCCCATCCCCCTCCCTCTTGATCTGTCTGTTTCCCTCTTTTCCTCTGTGTTTCTGTCTCTCTATGGGTTGTGTTTCCTTGTTTTCCACTCTGACAAATGCAACATGAACGGGAAAGAGGCGCCCAGCTGCCTAGGAGGGCAAGCTGGGCAAGCCGGGCAAGGAGACCCCGCACCCACACCTACCTCATTTAAGTGTTGGATTTTTTGCTGTTTTGAAATGTGAGACCCTCTCCAAGCCCCCTACTGCCCCAACCCTCTCCCCCACCTCACTGCCCTCTTCTGAGTGGGTGGAAGAGGGGGTAGGAGGAGGAAGAAAAACAACAACAAAAAATCCATCTTTGTTTTTAATTATGGGCATGGGATGGTGGTTGAGGCAAATGATGATGAAGATTGGGGATGACTGGCCCCTAGTTGCTCTAGGACTTCCTTCTCCATCTGGACATGGGGGCAGGAGGGGGCTAAACCTAGGACCAGGATATCTCTCTCCTGTTTTCCCAACCCCATCATGAGCCCGTTTGCCCTCCAGCCCCTGGACGGGTTGGGTGGGGGGTAGGGTGAGGGCTATCCCTGAGTGGCATGCCCATACCTAATGAGGCAGGGTGTGGCCCGGAGCTCCCACTTTCCCTCAGTCACCAAACTGCTGCTGGTCTGGTGGGAAGGGGTGGTGATGTGGGGGTGGGGAGCTTAGTGTCAGCGAGGGGAGGGTGGGGGGTATTTATCTATTTATACATGGGATTGTACATAGTCTTGTGGGGCATGGGGGAGCCGGCTGGAGGTGAGAACCCTCCCCTCTCCCCCCACCCCCGGGGAGAGCAAATGTAAAACTACTAATTTTTGTGCTTTATATATTCTATATAAATATATCTATTTTCTTTTTACAAAACCAGTTTATAAATGGTAGGGGGGTGTGGGGCGGACACATGGAGCTCCCCTTGTGGGGGGGCCCCCTCCATTACCCAACCTACCGCCCTTTTCCTCACCCCCCACCCCACTCCCCACCCCCTGGCTGTGACTGCTGTAAGATGGGGGTATAGAGGCTGGGCAATTCCCACCCCCTGTTGTATAGTTGGACTATGTTATAACGCACAAAAGAGAGCTGACCCCAGGGGGAGCCAGAGGGTGATGGGTTCCTTGCCTCCCTTTCCTTCCCCTTTCTGCCCAAGCTTGTGCTGCAGTTTAACCTCTTCCTGGGGGTGGGGGTAGGTAAGGGGTGGGTGACACCCCAAACCCCTCTCTGGTAGGGAACCGTGGGGATGAAGATGAAGCTTATATGCAGTTCTCTTCTAGGGGCTGTGGGCAAAGGGCATTTTGTAATTAATATTTTCAAGAATCCGATGTCTGGAGTGTAGGGGTGGGCTTGGTGGTGGTGGACGGGCGGGCCTGCTGGAGGGGGAGCTTGGTGGCTGTTGTGATTTTAGGTTTGTTTTTGTTTTGTTTTGAATTTGGGGAGTTGTGGATTGTTGGGGGTAGGGAGATTTTTTTTTTTTTTTTTTTTTTTTTAAAGCTGCTTCCTCAACTGTTTCAAGCTGCAAATGTTTAAGAGAATAACACCCCCCACTCCCACAGGAACCGCTGTAATTAAATCAGACAGCAGGAAGACTGGGCTGCAGCCCTCAAAGCCACAGCCCTTGATGTTCCTTTTCGGAGAGCAATAGGTCTAGGCTACAGGGAGGGGAAGATTGGCTCCCGTGAGTCAGGCTGTGTTTGGGGCTTGGGCCCTGGGATTGGGAAAAGGGGATGGGGCAGACTTTGTAAGCATATGCTAGGTATCCGATAGTCCTGTAGAATTTAGTGAAGAAACCTTATACAGTTTTTAATTTTTATATAAACTATAACTCAGACCCAAGCTACAAGGTTGGAATTTTGGTTGGTTTTTTTTTAAGTACCCTGCCTGTATAATTGCATCAGAATCCCCCACCCCCCCGTGTTTGTATTTTGGGTTGGTTTACACTCGCACATACTCAATTTTCAGTTTTCCCCTTTACAGTCTTCTCCCCTCACCTCCAGGACCCTCCCCCTTTTTAAAAAATAAATCGCTGACAAGTGTGAATCCCGTGAAGACTTTATTTTGTGTTGTGTGTATCCTGTACAGCAAGGTTGGTCCTTCGTAACAACGGATGAAATGGTTCCCTTTTTTAAAGCGCCCTCTCTCCCTCCACCCTCAGCGCCCCTGTCCTTGGCATGTTTTGTATCAGCGATCATTCTGAACTGTACATAATTTATGTTGCGAGAGGCAAAGGGCAAGTTTTGGATTTTGCTTCTTCCAAGTTTGTTTTTAAACGACAAATAAAAAAAGAACATTTTAAATACAAGCGGCTCCGTCCCGTGACCCTCGCCGTCAGCCGGATCCGTGCGGTCCGAGAGGACCCGGGGGAGGGCGGTTACCGAGGCCCGCCACCGCCGGAAGGGTGGGTTCCACGCCTTCCGCCGTAGTCTGGCGACTGCCGTGACGTGGGCGGAAGTGGCGTCGCCGCACCGGATGTGGGGCGTGGCCTTCCCCAAGAGAGTTTCCTAAAGCGAGAAAACCAAGCCGGCGCCTCTTGCAATGGAGACGGTGAGGAGCGCAGGAGGGCGGTCGGGGGCGCTGTAGAGCCTAAGACCCCGCTTAGGAGACCGGGAGGGCCGGGCAGGGGCTGGCGCTGGTGTCTAGCAAACAAAAAGCAGCCGGGTGTCTGCCCTATCCCGTGACCGTGTCCCTCCGCTTCTTCGTTGGGCGCATCTCCTGGGACTGGGCCGCGCCCCCGCCGCCTTTCCGTACGCGGTACCCTTAGCCCAAGCAGGCAGTGACTCCTGGCCCTCCTTGGAGCCCACGTAAGCCGTGGCAATCTTGGGCTTCCTTTCCTCTTAGCACCTCAAGCCCTTTTAGAGGTTTGAGAGCGCGGGGTTGTGATGCGGCTTTGCTGGGTGAGGCAGGGGGTGTCCAGAGGGATCTCCGCTTGCAGGTAGCTGCTGGACCTCGGTAGTCTTTCTGTGATCCCTGCAATCCCTGGCAGGAGGACATCTGAAGATCTTTATACTGCATCCAGTGAAGTCACATTCCCTTAATAAGACCGAGAATTGAGGTTTGCTTGAAAGAGGAAAACTTGCAGTGTTAGAGGCCGATGTGTCCCTGGACAAGTTTAGGTCATGGCCCGCTCTGCGACTCTAAGCAGGAGTTTTGGCACAGCGCATTCTTGGCGAGCAGGCATTGACCAGTTGTGGCAGGGCCCTGTCACCCTCCCACAGATGCCGCGGGTTGCCTGCTGCATGTTTGCACCCACCCTCACTCTCAGGAGTCTTTTTCTAGCGCTCTGTAACCCCTCCCATACACTTCCCTCTCCACAGTTTTTAACCATGTGTCTTCTTTCAGGCAGAGTAACTCTTCCCATCTTGGTTTTTATCATTTGCTACTGTAGTTATGAAAGGACTGCAGGTTCACTTTGCTTTGGATTACATGCCCATAGTAATTCTTTGCCACACCCTTTCTCTGCCCACAGAGAGGTTGTTTCTTTCAGGTTTTTGAAAAGAAAACCGACCAAAGTACTAAAACGATTCGCAGTTGGTCTCCCAGGCAAGGGAGCCAGTTCTGACTAATCAAGATAATCTTGAACAAAAATAAGGAGTCTAATTCCATTAAATTTAAAATAACATGTCATATTCTACTTACTTGTGAGTGTAGTATGGTTTACAGAGCATTTTTATGTAGATTTTCTAATTTAGCCTTCACACTTTATGTACTGGATTAGGCTCTGGGGTAGAAGTTAAAAAGAGGAAAAAGAAAACAGCCAGGTGTGGTGGCTCATGCCTGTAATGCCAGTACTTTGGGAGGCTAAGGCAAGTGGATTGCTTGAGCTCAGGAGTTCAGCACCAGTCTGGGCAACGTGATGAAACCCTGTCTTGACAAAAACAAAAACACAAAAATTACCCAGGCATGATGGTGGTGGTGCATACCTGTAGTCCCAGCTACTCTGGAGGCTCAGGTGGGAGGATTGCTTGATCCAGGGAGGTGGAGGCTGTAGTTAGCTGAGATCATGCCACTGCACTCCACTCTGAGTGACACAACGAGATCCTGTCTCCAGAAAAAAGAAAAAGAAAACTCCTGCTTTGAAAATGTTCAGCCTAACTGGAGTAAGGGTGAGGGCAAGCCAGCAACAGCTGTTATTTAAAGGTAGACTATAATAAATGCTATCATTAATATGAAAACAAAGGACTGTGACAGAATAGTTGAGAGAAAAATTACTTTGGACCTAGGAGAGGGCACTGCAAATTGAGAGAACAGTATGAGCAAGGGCACTGAAACTGGGGGATGTGGAGAATTGGGGGTGAGCCAGCGGCTTGGTGTTGCTGGCTTTGGATTTTGGTCACAGTGAGAGAAAAGACTGGAAAAGTAGGCTAAGATCAGGTTGAAGGTATTACACACCATGCTAAATTTGAACTTTGTTTTGTAATAGGGGACCCATGGAAGATTTATGAGCAAGTCAGTGAATGTCTTTTAGGAATGTTCATAGCAGCTTTCTGTACATGGACTGAGCTACTTCGGAAAGTAAAGTTTCTTGTTAATGGAGATGAAAGCCCCTTCCAAACCTGAGATGCTTTGGTGAAAGCACGAAAGACAAATTGAAAAGCAGAGAGATATGGGCCAAGGACCCCAATTTAAACAGTCTTGCAGAAGTGAGAGGTAAAAGCCTAAATTAAGGCTGTAAAATTGGCAATGAGAGAGATATAGATCTGAGGCATTTATAACATTACCAGCTTAGCTGATAACTGGTAAGAAGACAGCTGTATAAAACAGAAAAAAACAAGATGGGAACTACAGCAAGAATAATAGGATTGGAGGGACAAATGTTTTGTTTCGTATTGAAGCATTTGAGGAGTCTCTGTGACATCTATGGTTGTCAAACAAATAATTGGAAACGTAGATCAGAAGTTTGGAAGAAATTGCGAGTCTGTTTGTCAGATGTAGACTGTGTCTCTGTAATATTTTGTACTTACGTGGTACAGTTGTACTTTCTCAGGTCCCCTATGTTATTAAAAGTAGAAAGGAGGCCAGGCACAGTGGCTTATGCCTGTAATCCCAGAACTTTGGGAGGCCAAGGTGGGCGGATCACTTGAGCCCAGGAGCTCAAGACCAGCCTCGTCAACATAGCGAGACCCCATCTCTACAAAAAAATACAAAAAGTAGCTGGGCTTAGTGGTGTGTGCCTGTAGTCCCAGCAGCCCAGGAGGCAGAAGTCAAAGGATTGCTTGAGCTGGGGAAGTTGAAGATACAGTGATCTGTAATCATGCCACTGCACTCCAGCCTGGATGACCGAGTGAGACCCTGTCTCAAAAAAAAAAAAAAAAAAAGTAGAAAGAAGTAGATGTAACTACATAATTCCCCCTCTGATATGGTGAAACAGGCAGAAAGTTAAAAGTCATTATCGGGCTCCGTGGCTCATGCCTGTAATCCCAGCACTTTGGGAGGCCGAGGCGGGCAGATCACAAGGTCAGGAGTTTAAGACCAGCCTGGCTGGCCAGGCACAGTGGCTCACGCCTGTAATCCCAGCACTTTGGGAGACTGAGGCAGGTGGATCAAGAGGTCAGGAGATCGAGACCATCCTGGCTAACACGGTGAAACCCCGTCTCTACTAAAAAATACAAAAATTTAGCCAGGCATGGTGGCGTGCGCCTGTAGTCCCAGCTACTTGGGAGGCTGAAGCAGGAGAATGGCGTGAACCTGGGAGGCAGAGCTTGCAGTGAGCGGATATCGCGCCACTGCACTCCAGCCTGGGCAACAGAGCAAGACTCCATCTCAAAAAAAAAAAAAAAAAAAGGACCAGCCTGGCCAACATAGTGAAACCCCATCTCTACTAAAAATACAAAAAAACTCAGCTGGGCATGGTGGCAGGTGCCTGTAGTCCCGGCTACTTGGGAGGCTGAGGCAGGAGAATCGCTTGAACCCGGGCAGCGGAGATTACAGTGAGCCAAGATCACGCCACTGCACTCCAGCCTGGGTGACACAGCGAGACTCTGTCTCAAAAAAAAAAAAAAAAAAGTCACATATTCAGTTGTATTTGACTCTGTTATGTTGGTATCTGTATCTCTAGTTAGCTATATGTTTCTTTCCTCCCTCTGTAACTTAGTCTTAGGCATATCTGTTCCTATCAGTGTGCATCATTCTTTGAGAATTAAAAAACAAAACAACTGTGAATTATATGCAAAATCCTGTGCTTGGTGGTATGGGGGATACAAAGTACAAGATAGTTCTAGGTTTCCAGGAATTTATAATCTGTTTGGATAGATAACGGACAAAATAAGTATCGCACAGTACAATATATATCATATGATGGGTAAATTCTACAGAAGTAGCTGTTTTTGTGCCTTTGTGTAGATCTTTGTGAGACTCTGATATATCATGTGTTTATCACAGCCCTCTCTCCTACTTACAAGTGATGAGGCTGTTGTTCTGATAGTCCTGCCAAAATGGCAGGCCAAGCTGACAGTCTTATGCAGTCCAGAGGGAAGAGAAGGAGATTATCCCCCTTACTCCCTGCACTCTCCCCTAGCCCATTAAGGGAGAAAAGTTTAGGGCTGTTGTAAACTTCCCTGGTTTAGGAAGTTTGTCAGCCAACCTCCCAGGTTGAAGTTTTTAATGTCATGTTACTACAGAAGCTATGGGGATGAAGTATGGTTTTAAGTTATTTTGGAGATATCACCCAGAGAAAGTGGAGCCAAGACTGTTGATGCTAGCAGATGAAAATTGTTGTGATCCCTTCTGGGTTCCTAAATAACAATGGCATTTCCAAATGTTCCCACTTGAGGGAGCACAGAAATGGTTCTAAGTTTTGTCTAGTCAAAGCACTCTAATCTCAGACTGCCTTGGGAAGGGAAACTTGGAAAACCAGCATCCCCTGGCTATAGCAGCCTTTGTTTGACTGACAAGGGTGCTGAGTGGACTCGAGTCCCCAGTTTCAGAACATTCATGTTCCTTATCCACCTCTCAGTCATTCAGGCTTTGACTGGCTAACAGTCAGCTACAGGGATCCTCCCCAGTTGTGGCCCTCTCTCTACCATGGAGGTAGACAATGGTAGAACCAATGTCTGTGGTTCTAGTGCCTACAAATATGCCTAGTGAGTGTCTGTGTTTGGGGGAAGACAATGCTATCTCTCTGGCTTCCATGTTTTAATAAAGTAGATCTGTGAGAATCTTGTAGGGGTTAGCCCTAAGCTCAGATCTTTAGTCTTAGCTTTTAAGACCTAATGTTTCATTAGGCGGTATAGTGTACAAGAACATGAGCTTTGCAGATAATGCTCATTCCACTCAGAAGTGGATAGAAGTATTTCTGGAAGGCACAATATTGTAGCAGTATTGGTTTCTTCTCTTCTGTGATTCCAGAGAGGTAGAATTTCATCAGAATGGAATAAATACATTCAAAAATTTTATAAAAATGGCTGGTTGTGGTGGCTGATGCCTGTAATCCCAGCACTTTGTGAGGCCGAAGCGGGCAGATCAGTTGAGGTCAGGAGTTTGAGACCAGCCTGGCCAACATGGTAAAAACCCCGTCTCTGTTATAAATATGAAAATGAGGTGGATGTGGTGGCACACGCCTGTAATCCCAGCTCTCAGGAGGCTGAGGCACGAGAATCGCTTGAACCCAGGAGGAGGCAGTTGCAGTGAGCCAAGATCACGCCACTGCACTCCAGCCTGGGCAACAGAGCGCGACTCTGCCTCAAAACAAAACAAACAAACAAGCAAATTTACAAAAATGAACACTGCCAAGATAACCAAACTCTTCATCAGTTATAATAAATTATTTTCTTAGGTATAAGTAGTTTTAAAATTTTTTGTTTTTTCATGTATGTTATTTATTAAAATTTTGATGTTATAAAAAAGCAAACCACAAGCTCTGGAACCAGAAGATAGGTGTTTGAATGCCAGCTCCACTCCTTATCAGCCATGTGACCTTGGACAGCTTGCTTAATGTCTCTTGACTCTCAGAGACAATCTGTGAAAATAAGGCTAATAATAGTACTTACTTCAGGGTTGTTATGAAGATTAAATGAGATCATTATTTCTGAAGAGCCTAATAAGGCTGGGTGCAGTAACTCGTGCCTGTAATCGTAGTGCTTTGAGAGGCCAAGGAGGGCAATCACTTGAGCCCAGGAGTTCAAGACCAGCCTGGGCAACATGGCGAAACTCCATCTCTACTAAAAATACAAAAATTAGCTGGGTATAATGGCGTGCGCCTGTAGTCCCAGCTACTCAGGAGGCTGAAGTGAGGGAGGATCACCTGACCCGGAGGAAGTCAAGGCTGAAGTGAGCTGTGATCACACCACTGCACTCCAGTCTGGGTGACAGAGCGGGACCCTGTCTCAGAAACAGAAAAAAAACAGGGTTGGGGGAGGTGGTGGCTTTATAGTGCTTTAAAGAAAGTCATTATTTGTTCACCAGCCCTTCCCCTAATGTTGCTAGGCTTAAATGGATGGAACCAGGTTAAGCTGAATCTGTTTTCTTGTCTCTCCAGGTCATTTCTTCAGATAGCTCCCCAGCTCTGGAAAATGAGCATCCTCAAGGTAAGTTTACTGAAGAAAGGAAAGTGGGCATGGAAACAATAGCCTGACCCTAACAATGTCTTCAACAATGCTTTTGAATCTCTCCCCTGGGAAAGTCAAAGCAGGGCCAGATAATGGCCAAACCACAAAAATCAGTGACAGTAGTTTGGCAAGATCACCCAGGAATAAATCTTGGGCAGATTGGGGATGGTTAATATCTTCAATTATCAAACCACTTGAGAGAAACTTCTGAGGTACAGGGAAAACTTCCATAGGCAGCTCTGGGCTGGCTAACCATGTTTTAGAAGTCCTGGGTATTTTCTGCGTAGTCCAGAAACAGTGCCACCAGGATTTTATCACCCAGCAAGCTCATTAAAGCCATTGAGTGTACACAAAAAATTATGCAAAGGGCTGGGCGCTGTGCCTTACTCCTGTAATCCCAGCACTTTGGGAGGCCGAGACAGGTGGATCGCTTGAGCTGAGGAGTTTAAGACCAGCCTGGTCAACCTGGTTAAACCCTGTCTCTACTAAAAATACAAAATTAGCCAGGTGTGGTGGTGCATGCTTGTAATCCCAGCTACTTGGGTGGCTGAGGCAGAAATTGCAGTGAGCCAAGATTGTGCCATTGCACTCTAGCCTGGGCAACAAGAGTGAAACTCCATCTCAGGAAAAAAAAAATTAAATTAAATTAGAAAAAGGCTCTTAGAACTAATCTAGTAATAGAAGCACTAAACCTCTAAAATCCAGAGCACAAGGAAGACAATTCCAATGCCGGCCAGTGCCTATTTTATGTTTTTGAGTACATTTGTATTAGCACCAAGGCAGAAACCTGAAACTCAAATTGCCTACATGGACCAAGCAGTGAAGTGAACCACATATGATTATGACAACCTGTAGATCTTGTGTTGCATCTAAAAGAAGGTGACAACTGGACTGGCTATGGTGATTCATGACTGTATTCCAGCACTTTGGGAGGCCAAGGCGGGTGGATCACCTGAGGTCAGGAGTTGAAGACCAGCCTGGCCAACATGGTGAAACCCTGTCTCTACTAGAAATAAAAATATTAGCCGGGCGTGGTGCCGCATACCTGTAATCCCAGCTACTTGGGAGGCTGAGGCAGGAGAATTGCTTGAACCTGGGAGGCAAAGGTTGCAGTGAGCTGAGATCGTGCCACTACACCCCAGCCTGGGGGACAGCGCAAGACTCTGTCTCAAAAAAAAATTACAATTAAGGCAGCTGGGTTGTGGTGGCTTATGCCTGTAATCCCACCACATTGGGAGGCCGAGGCAGGTGGATCACCTGAGGTCAGGAGTTCCAGACCAGTCTGATCAACATGGTGGAACCCCATCTCTACTAAGTAGAAAACATTAGCCGAGCTTGGTGGTGGGCACCTATAATCCCAGCTACTTGGGAGGGTGAGGCAGGAGAATCACTTGAACCCAGGAGGTGGATTTTGTTGCAGTGAGCCAAGATCATGCCATTGCACTCCAGCCTGGGCAACAAGAGTAAAACTCTGTCCCAAAAAAAAAAAAAAAGGCAACAACTATCTAGGTCTGGTCAATTAAGACCTATTTTTGGCAGATCTTCTGACTTTGAAGACACTAGAAATTTGGATTTTTATGTAAATTTCTAGATTAAAAATTTTTGATTTAAATAAGTCTGGGCACAGTGTAACACCAGCACTTTGAGAGGCCAAAGCAGGAGGATCACTTGAGCTCAGGAGTTCGAAACCAGCCTGGATAAGTGAGACCCTGTCTCTACAAAAAATTAAAAATTAGCCGGGCATGGTGGTGTGCACCTCTAGTCACAGCTACTGGGGAGGCTGAGGTGGGAGGATTGCTTGAGCCCAGGAGGTTGAGGCTGCAGTGAGCTGTGATTGTGCCACTGCACTCCAGCCCGGGCAGAGAGTGAGATCCTGTCTCAATTATAAACAAACAAACAGGCCGGGTCCTGTGGCTCACGCCTGTAATCCCAACACTTGGGGAGGCCGAGGCTGGCGGATCACGAGGTCAGGAGATCAAGACCATCCTGGCCAACATGGTGAAACCCCGTCTCTACTAAAAATACAAAAAATTAGCCTGGCGTGGTGGTGGGCGCCTGTAGTCCTAGCTACTCAGGAGGCTGAGGCAGGATAATTGCTTGAACCTGGGAGGTGGAGGTTGCAGTGAGCCGAGATGGTGCCACTGCACTCCAGCCTGGGCGACAGAGCGAGACTTGGTCTCAAAAAAAAAAAAAAAAAAAAAGACACCAAGAAAGCCAAATCCAATATATTTGTGGGCCTGTGGCCTGAATGATAGTATTTAACTATCAGTGTAGTGTATGTATCTTCAACTGGTGTCCAAAAACATTTTCTTGGGAGTTTGAATTCTCAAGTTGAAATAACAATGGTAGGCTTCCAGTTAAAGATGGTAGATTGGTAGATTGGGCTGCGCATAGTGGCTCATGCCTGGTAATCCCAGCACTTTGGGAGGCTGAGGCGGGTGGATCACTTGAGAACAAGAGTTTGAGACCAGCCTGGCCAACATGGTGAAACCCTATCTCTACTAAAAATATAAAAATTAGCCAGGCGTGGTGACACATGCCTGTAATCGCAGCTACTTGGGTGGCTGAGGCATGAGAATCGCTTGAACTCAGGAGGAGGAAGTTGCAGTGAGTGGAGATCGCACCACTGCACTCCAGCTTGGGTGACAGAGCAAGACTCTGTCTCAAAAAAAAAAAAGATGGTACATTGAATATATATTCACAAAAAGTCCCCTAAAACCATCATAAAGGAAATTTTTTAAAGAAAAAGATACAAACACACCATAGGGAAAACAGGAGAGGAGATAATAGCAATGAATTTTTGGAAGCTGAAAAGCAGACAAAAGAGTGATGAATGACTTAGATCTGAGAAAACTGAATTATAACTAGCAGTGAGAGCCAAGAAGCATTAAGGTCTAAGAAACAGTCAGATCCCAAGACACCCTATCCCACTGAGTGATCGGGTGAGCAACAGTGAGCAACTCCACCTCCCACCTGTGGCAAAGACTGGAAATCTGGCAAGGGACTCGGGCACAGCTTAGGACTGAAGTACTGCACTGAAAACAGGAGCATGTAGTGAACTATACTAGATGCTGAGCCTCCAGCTGTCTTTTCCTTTTCAGTTTCCAGAGCGCTGGCAGAAAAGACTTCACCCTCCAAGCATGAAATTGAATAATCCTTCTCTCCAGAATCCTCTTGAAGGGAAGTTCTAAAATATTTAAGTATTGAATGTTTCCTACCCAAATGATTCGCAGTCAGTAAGGCTCACTTACACACTTAGAGCTTCCACTCAGCTTTAAAGCCTCCACTCTTAAGTTATGGTTTAAGTTTTCCTTTAAACCAGGGATTACCAAACATCTAAAGAAAGGATCTGTGAAAAATGATCCAAACTGCCCCCGACCCCACCCTGGAATGTACCTTTGTTTTACTCTGAAGGCTGTATCTCCCTGGTAAAAAATAAATAAAAATGAAAAAGCAAACTGCCCCTCCCGAATTCATGTACACACGGAAGAAACAAACATGAAAAAAGCAACTGGAAGGAAAAGGGGAGAAGAAAACTTTAATAATATTAATATAACCTTAGGTAAAGGAACATATTTCTCAATACCTGTGAAAGTAGTATATCTTTAAAGAAAACAACAGCCGGGCATGGTGGCTCACGCTTGTAATCCCAGCACTTTGGGAGGCCGAGGCAGGCAGATCACCTGAGGTCAGGAGTTCGAGACCAGCCTGACCAATATGATGAAACCCTGTCTGTACTAAAAATACAAAAATTAGCTGGGCATGGTGGTGTGCACCTGTAATCCCAGCTACTCGGGAGGCTGAGACAGGAGAATCGCTTGAACCCAGGAGTTGGAGGTTGCAGTGAGCTGAGACTGCACCATTGCATTCCAGCCTGGGCAACAAGAGCAAAACTCTGTCTCAAGAAAACAAAAGCAACAACAAAAAACCATATTTCCACCATGAAACAAGTATAGGATACAATTTTTTATAGAAGGAATTTTCAGAAAAGAAAAAGGAACTCTTGGAAATTAAAAATATAATAGCAAAAATTTAAACACAGCTGGAGGTTTCAAAAGTCAACATGAGGAAATTTCCCAGAAAGGAGAGTTAAAAATCAACAAAGTAGAAAATAGGAGAGAAGGTGCAGTGGCTCATACCTATAATCCCAGCACGTTGGGAGACCGAGGCGGGAGACCAGGAGTTCGAGACCAGCTCAGCAACACAGCAAGACCCTGTCTCAACAAAAAAAAAAAAAAATTAGCCAGGCACAGTGGCATGCACTTGTAGTCCCAGCTACTCAGGAGGCTGAGACAGGAAAATTGCTTGAGCCCAGAAGGTCAAGGCTGCAGTGAGCCATGATCTCGCCATTGCACTCCAACCTGGGTGACAGAATGAAAGCCTGTCTCTTAAAAAAAAAAAAAAAAAAAAAGGAAATATTTCAACAACCCACAAAACAAACAAACATTAAAGGATCAGTCTAGGAGGTCCAGTTTCTAAATAGGAGTCATAGAAAGAGAAAAATGGCAACACAGAGGGAAGGAAATAATTGAGGAACTAATTCAAGAACATTTATTGGAACTTGAGGACATTAGTTTTCATATTGAAAGGGCCCATCAAATATTCAGCACAATGGATGAAAGTGACCCACCCAAAGCACAGTCATCCTGAGATTTCAGAACACTGGAAACAGAGAAGATCCTATGAGTTTTCAGAGAGAAAAAGAAGTCACATACAAAAAGTCAGAATTGCCTCTCAACAACACCAGCAGCTAGCAGGCAGCGGAGGAATGCCTTCAACATTCTGCAGGAAAATACATTCCAAGCTTTCCTGCAGATTCTCTATTCAGTCGAATTATAAATCCAAGGATGAGGGTAGAATAAAGATATCTACAGGCTGCAAGGTCTCAAAAACATGTACCTTCCATGCACCCTTTCTCAGGAAGGTACTGGAAGATGTGTTCCACCAAAATAAGGGAGTAATCAAAAAATATGAAAATGCGATATAGGATACAGGAGCACCAGTGGAGGAGAGACGTGAAAGGGGTACCCAGGATGGTGATGAAGAAAGATCCCAGGATGACAGCAGTGCACACCAGTTAAACCAGCCCAGATTTGAGCAGGTCAGAAGGCTCCAGCGAGACTTCTTTGGGTAGTTTAAATTGATAGACTATCTAATGCTTTTTAACCTCTTGAAAGGAGATTTAAACAACTGGTGAAGCATTTGGGGGTTGGATTAGTTATAAGAATTATACATAGAAAATTAAACAAACAAAAGGACAAGACATTAACTCCAGAGAAAACAAAGTTGTGAAAGGAAGAAAAAAAATCATAGTTTATTATTTGGCTTATTTCTGAATAATAAATATTCAGTCAAAATGATTTGAATACTGGCTGGGTGCAGTGCTCATGCCTGTAATCCCAGCACTTTGGGAGGCCGAAGTGGGCGGATCACATGAGGTCAGGAGTTTGAAATCAGCCTGGCCAACATGGTGAAACCCCATCTCTACTAAAATACAAAATTTAGCCGGGCATGGTGGCGGGCGCCTGTAACCCCAGCTACTTGCAAGGCTGAGGCAGGAGAATCGCTTGAACCTGGAAGACTGAGGTTGTAGTAAGCTGAGATCATGCCACTGCACTCCAGCCTGGGTGACAGAGCAAGACTCCCTCTCAAAAAAAATAAATAAAAAAGATTTAAACATTATGGTTTAGCTCCTGGAAGAATGGGGAGGATGGGAAGTACATGTTTGTGGTGAAGCCCTAGTAGGAGAGAGAACTAGAAATTCTCCTCTTCTTTGGTAGGTAGATGATAAATAATGCCCCAAAATGAAAAAAAAAAAAATCGGAAACTAGCAATACAAACATGTTATTTAAGGACATAGAATTAAGTACCAAAATAACTAAAAGAGGTAGATAGATGTTCTCATCTCTGGGGAAGGGTAGTACAGGAAGGTGGGTTGCAAGGACTGCATTTTTTTCTTAACAAAATTTGTAAAACTGACTGTTTAAACCGTGTGTCTGTATAACTTTGGTTTAAAAATTAAATATTAAAAACCAAATTGATTAAAGACTTAAGAGCATGAAGTTTGGAATCAGATCTGGGTTTGTTTGAGTCTTTCTTGCCACTTATTAATGGGTGAACTTGAACAGTTTATTTAACTACACCTATTTTCTCATCTGAAACATGAGGACAGTACTTACACATTTGTTGTAAGGATTAAATTTTGTAATTTTTTTTTTTTTTTTTTTTTTTTTGGAGACAGAGTCTCACTCTGTCGCCCAGGCTGGAGTGCAGAGGCACAATCTCGTCTCACTGCAACCTCCACCTCCTGGGTTCAAGCAATTCTCCTGCCTCAGTCCCCTGAGTAGCTGTGACTACAGGCACGTGCCACCACGCCTGGCTAATTTTTGTATTTTTTAAGTAGAGATGGGGTTTTGCCATGTTGCCAGACTGGTCTCAAACTCCTGACCTCAGGTGACCCACCCACTTTGGCCTCCCAAAGTGCTGGGTTACAGGCGTGCGCCACCATGCCCAGTCAATGTAATTTATTTATTTATTATTATTTTGACACGGAGTTTCACTCTTGTTGCCTAGGCTGGAGTGCAGTGTTACAATCTGGGGTTACTGCAACCTCTGCCTCCCAGGTTCAAGCAATTCTCCTGCCTCAGCCTCCCGAGTACCTGGGACTACAGGCGCCCACCACCATGCCCAGCTAATTTTTTGTATTTTTAGTAGAGACGGGGTTTCACCGTGTTAGCCAGGATGGTCTTGATCTCCTGACCTCGTGATCCACCCACCTCAGCCTCCCAAAGTGCTGGGATTACAGGCGTGAGCCACCGCGCCTGGCTAATGTAATATTTTTAAGTGCACATAGTATAGTATGTAGCACATTCAAGCTATTATTTTGGGAGATTGCTTCCCTAGTTTAGAGCGAGCAATTAAAATCACAGGAATAGAAAAAGGTAAACTACCCAGGATCTCCTGGGATGATTTCTGATTTACAGGGTGGTCCCAGAATGGACTATCAGGGTGTTTTGAGCCAGGTTGATTGAGCACTGGGCTCCAACTTATTGTTAATGAGAAATGGCCCAACTTGGACCATGACTTTCCCATTTGCAGGTCTTAAAATTTTAACTTTTTTTTTCAATTGAGACAGGTTCGCTGTGTTGCCCAGGCTGTCCTTGAGCTCCTGGGTTCAAGTGATCCTCTGCCTCAACTTCCTGCGTAGCTGGGATTACAGGTGCTTGCCACCATGCCCAGCACAGTCTTGGAAGAATTTTAAGCAGCTTATTTCATTGAAAAAAGAGGAAAGTGAAAATGTGCTAAATATATGAAAGGGAAAGCTTGGATTAAAGATGAGAAACATTTTTAGATTATAACATGTTAAAGAGAGATACTATAGGCTTTATGTTTTAGTCAACTTTCTTTTACCTATAGGGACCAATAGGTAAAGTCTTAACCTGGAGATAGGGGTTGGATGAAATGGTTTCTAAGAGGTTTATGCAGGTTTTGTGGAAACAATAGGAACAAGACAGATAAGGGGCCTTATAAAAAAAATCATGCTGTAAATATTTGAGATACTAGAACACTATTCTGTTTTCTGTCTCTTTTGATTGGGAGTTTTTATGGGGAAGGAAGCTGCTAACTATCCCACCCTATGCAGAGACCCCAGAATCCAACAATAGCGTGTATACTTCCTTCATGAAGTCTCATCGCTGCTATGACCTGATTCCCACAAGCTCCAAATTGGTTGTATTTGATACGTCCCTGCAGGTGGGTGAATCCTCTTTTCCCTTCCCCCTTTGGAGCCTGTGGTTTAATACCTCTCATCCTATCTCATCCTAAGGGTAATATCCTTATCCTTCTGTGAAGTTAGTCTCATGTTTTACCCAACATGCCCAAACACTGTTCTTTATTTTACAGTCCTGCCCCTGTGGATTTGCCTTTATGATTATTACTGTCTTGGCTACAGGTGAAGAAAGCTTTTTTTGCTTTGGTGACTAACGGTGTACGAGCTGCCCCTTTATGGGATAGTAAGAAGCAAAGTTTTGTGGGTAAGCAAAAGTTTCTGGAACACATTATTTTTGGCATCTTGTGCTGGGCAGGGAGACAAGCTTCAGGCAGTACTGAGGGCTCTGTCTTGTCCTCTAGGCATGCTGACCATCACTGATTTCATCAATATCCTGCACCGCTACTATAAATCAGCCTTGGTAAGGAACCTTAGCCCAATGACCAAAATCACTTTCCCTACCCTAAGTCCCTCATTCTCATTTCTTTTGCTCCCAGCAAGCCACAAGGGCTTCAGGAAGCAGAGAGATCAGGTCTCAAATTCTGTTGCTTCTGCTTTCAGGTACAGATCTATGAGCTAGAAGAACACAAGATAGAAACTTGGAGAGGTATGTAGAGAATTGGGGTTGTAAAAGGTTATAAAGGGATGGAGGGTTTCTGGGAAATGCTTTTCCATGGTGGTATTTTGTGACCCATCCCTTTTCCCTTCAGAGGTGTACCTCCAGGATTCCTTTAAACCGCTTGTCTGCATTTCTCCTAATGCCAGGTGGGTTCCAGTTATCCATCTGTCCAAAAAGGGGAAGAGATTTGCCATCAGCCTAGCTAATGCCCTAGACACCCAGGGAAAGGGGAAGAAGAGAGAAAAGACACACACACACACACTTACACACTTTCTCTCTCTCTCTAAGTCTGGCCTGTACTCTGCCCCCCTTCCCTAACCATTAGCTTTCCCTGTTTAGTGATACACTTTGTGGAGCTGTTTACTCACCCTCAGCCCCAGCACTGTGGAACTTATTATCTCCAACCCTCCCACAGCTTGTTTGATGCTGTCTCTTCATTAATTCGGAACAAGATCCACAGGCTGCCAGTTATTGACCCAGAATCAGGCAATACTTTGTATATCCTCACCCACAAGCGCATTCTGAAGTTCCTCAAATTGTTTGTAAGTGCTCCTCAGCCCAGTTCTTTTTTCTCTTTTTTCGTTTATTTATTTATTTATTGAAAAAAGAGACAAGGTCTCACTGTGTTGCCCAGGCTAGTGTCGAACTCCTGAGCTCAAGTGATCCTCCCGCCTCAGCCTCCCAAAGGGCTAGGATTACAGGTGTGAGCCACTGCATCCAGCCCCACTTCTTATTTATTTATTAATTTATTTTGATACAAGGTCTTACTCTGTTGCCCAGGCTGGCGTGCAGAGGCACTATCATGGCTCACTGCAGCCTCCAACCTCTTGGGCTCAGGTGACCCCCAATCTCAACCCCCAGAAGAGCTGGGACTACAGGTGTGTACCACCACACCTGGCTAATTTTTTGGTATTTTTTATAGAGATGGGGTTTTGCCAAGTTGCCCAGGCTGGTCTTGAACTCCTGGGCTCAAGCAATATGTCCCCCTCAGCCTCCCAAAGTACTGGGATTATAGGCATAAGCCAGCGCACCCAGCCCTTATTTCTAACATACTGGGTTGGAGGGGTTATCCAAGGGTGGCTTTGGGTGCCTTGAAAATTAAGCTGATGGTTCTTTCCTCAGATCACTGAGTTCCCCAAGCCAGAGTTCATGTCCAAGTCTCTGGAAGAGCTGCAGATTGGCACCTATGCCAATATTGCTATGGTTCGCACTACCACCCCCGTCTATGTGGCTCTGGGGATTTTTGTACAGCATCGAGTCTCAGCCTTGCCAGTGGTGGACGAGAAGGGTGAGAGATTGGGCAGAAGGAGAGGGAGGGAAGATCCAGGCAAGTCAGGGTGGCTCCGGGAAAATCTGTTTTCCCCTCAGCTTAGCCAGGAGGGTGATTCTGTGAGTAGGGGGAGCTTTAGACCCCAGATCCTCCTTACTGAGCTGCCTCTGTCCCCCTAGGGCGTGTGGTGGACATCTACTCCAAGTTTGATGTTATCGTGAGTGATTTTGGAGGGTTTGGGAGGTAGGGAAGGGTGGGGGGTGCTATTAAATATGGAGAGGGAGAAGGGAGTCTCTTCTGTGATCTCAGGGTCTTAGAAGCTTCCAGGCTTTCAAATCCTATTTGAAAAGGAATTGAATGAGTTGGGTATGCCTTGTGGCTGACAATTGCCCTGAATCCCTCTGGTGAGGTTGGATGGGTTCAGGGTTTGGAGGCTGGCTTTCTTGCTTCCCTGCAAGCTCCTTCCTCTGTCTCCCCAGAATCTGGCAGCAGAAAAGACTTACAACAACCTAGATGTATCTGTGACTAAAGCCCTGCAACATCGATCACATTACTTTGAGGGTGTTCTCAAGTGCTACCTGCATGAGACTCTGGAGACCATCATCAACAGGCTAGTGGAAGCAGAGGTAGGGAGGCCAGCAACCCTAAAGGAGCTGAGGGGAGCAACCTTGAGAGTGGGGTTTGGCAAGGAGAGTAGGGGCAGAGGGGCTTCCCCTGAGGCCAGCACTAAACATTCCCTTTTTCCCTTGTTGTTCTGTGCCAGGTTCACCGACTTGTAGTGGTGGATGAAAATGATGTGGTCAAGGGAATTGTATCACTGTCTGACATCCTGCAGGCCCTGGTGCTCACAGGTGGAGAGAAGAAGCCCTGAGCTGGGGGAAGGGGTCAGGCAGCACCAGGGGATATGCCCAACTCACTGCCTGCTGGAAGCTCTGTGGGAATCAGATGAAACTTGGGGGAATTGTGACTCTGTTCCCTGCTCAGGGCCCCCTGCCCTTCTATCTGGGAGCTAGGGAAGGTATAGGGGGAGGAAGGAGAATGGATTTATAGCTACCCTTACCCTCACACATACACTTGAAAAAAACTTTCAGCCTAGCCAATTCTAGCCCCTGTCTTCTTAGACATAGCCCCCTTTCTGGGTGAACTATAGGCTCTGTGCCTCTCAGACAAATCCTGATCTCTAAGAGATCCCCAGACCTCACTTGCCTCTGCCTCCATCTCAGCCCTGATTCAACCCTAAGATAACAGCACAACAAAATTCTTCATAAAGATATTTTTATTCACCTGTTCCATGCTATATGGAGGAGGCTAAGTCCATTTAGTGACATTTCTTCCCATAATGTGAGTGGGGAGGATTGTGGGGAGGAGGGGCTTTGGGTTCCTGTGTTTGTGCATATGAAGGGAGATGGGGGTTAGGTGGAGGAGGAGGGCAGCGTGATTAGCTAAGGTTATTGCTTTTTGTGGCAAATCTAATTAAATGACAGCTATCTCTTCATGGTATTGCAGTGTTTGATTTTTACAGTTGATGGATACTACTGTCCTACTTTATATGGCTTCTTCAACTGGTCATTAATAATAACGTGTGTACACACACACACACACGTACACACACAAAACTGTGTGCCAGACATCATTCTCAGTGCTTTACATATATTAACTAATCCTCAGAACAATAGTAGACACTATTCCAGTTTTTTACAGATTTTAAAAAATGGAGGCACAGAGAGGCTGGGTAACTAACCCAAGACCACACAGCTAGTAAAAAAAAAAATGGAGCTAGGATTTGAACCCAAACAGTCTTTACTGCTACAGTAGACTTCCGACTTCTAATTCTTTCACAACTACTCCTTACCCTGTGGTTCCTCCTTTCTATCTCACTTTCCCCTCTGCCTGAATCATGGCTGGTACCCAAGGAAAATCCTGTAACAGTGTTAGTGTCTACTCCCAAGAGTAGACAGACTTGAGGGTCTCCTTTGGGCAGAGAATCCTGCCACCATTATCAGCTTTTCTTAAGGAAGGTTGGACTGTTTGGCTTTTGCTGAGTTGGCACTATTTTTTTTTTTTTTTTTTTTTTGAGATGGAATCTCGCTCTGTTGCCCAGGTTGGAGTGCAGTGGCGCAGTCTCAGCTCACTGCAACCTCTGCCTCCTAGGTTCAAGCGATTCTCCTGCCTCAGCCTCCTGAGTAGCTGGGATTACAGGCGCGCACCACCACACCTGGCTAATTTTTGTATTTTTTAGTAAAGACAGAGTTTCACCCATATTGGCCAGGCTGGTCGCAAACTCCTGACTTTGTGATCCACCTACCACAGCCTCCCAAAGTGCTGGGATTATAGGCATGAGCCACCGTACCCCGTTGGCACTATCTTTAAACCTGCAAATCCCTTGCCTTTCTTCCAAGGTGAGACAGAGCTGGATGGTGGGAGAACAGCAGGGCACTGGTCACTCCATCAGATCCATTCCCTGTACTGAAACCATGTAGACCCAAACAGCAGTCAGCACCCAACACCAGAACTGCTAGACTGGAGTATGAGCTAAATTTGGGTGCCAGCTAACCCCTGCCTTACAGGTATGATACAGTTTCCTATCCAAACCAGGAGCAATTTCAGAGTCATTGCTTGCCCCTTCCCCCACAGTGCTGCTAACCCCTTCCCTGACAGTGCCTAACCCCTCTGATGACCCTCCAGCCACGGCATACTGGGTTCTCCAAACTAGGCTTCCCGATGGAACACAGGGAAAAGCATCAAGGCCCTCATCAGATTCGACCTGAGGAAGCTTATTTTAAAAAAAGAAGGTGGCCCTCATCAGAGCTCTGCTTTCAGTGTTGCATCATGACTGTAGAGGAGCCCCTGCTTCAGCCTTCACCCCTTTACAGCTCTCACAGCACATTCTCAAACTTGGGGGAGGAAGGCTTCCAAGTTATTAGAATTAGAGTATGTTTATGTGTGGGGAGGGTAAGTACATGGTGGAAAGGACAGATGGTCTCTTATGTCACATTCCCTCATTAAGGAAGATTTGCCTAGGGAGGAGGCAGGGGCTTTAAAAAGCCTCAGGATTCTAGTGGGACCTAGGGTGGAAGGAAGCACCTTCGAGTCAAGTCATCGGTGCAGCTGGCAGGTGTGTGGAATCAAGGGGGGTAGGGTGGATGGGACAGGGAATGTTTGCATTCTCTCTAAAGGTTTGTGTTAGGGAGCAGAGGCCTGGTTTTGTTGAGCTGTTAGTCAGTCAGTCTCTGCCCCACAACAACCTTTCTGGTTGTTCCCCATCCCCTTAAAAGGAAGGGTCTGGACCCAAAGGGCTCCATGTACATTAGTGGAAAACTAATTGGGAACTCTTGCTTCTCTGATTTGCCCCTAAAACCCAACCTATCAGTCTCAGTGTGAGGATGAAGCTGAGGGAGAGACAAGGGATAAAATTTGGGAGACTCACAAGCTTCTATTCTTACCTATTCCTCTCCAGAGGCAAATTATCCCTTCTTCCCGAGGAACCATTGCCACACACACACTCTCTTTCCCCTCTCTGCACCCCTCCCCTCCACTGAGGCTGCTGCCATGGTTGCCAGGCATGGTTGCTAAGTCTCTGCATGGAAGGGTTGGCGTGGGCTGTGCTGCCACTAACATTACCATGGTGAATCAGGGGACACCTGGTATAAGCTTAGGAGGAGGGATCATGTGGATGTAAGCAACAGCCCCCCAGGACAGAGGCAGCCCAAAGGTGAGCATCTGGAGCACCACTTCAGGTGGGGGCTGAGTGAACTAGGCAATTGTTGTGGTGAGGGGGAGCTCTACATTGGAAAAAAAAAAAAAAAAGGCCACTTTTATCATTTCAGTTGCTAGGGGATTAGTTTTGCCAAGCAAACACACCATCTCTCCTCCATCCCCCTCTGGAAGGGTGAGAGTGCATAAGCACTTACTCTGTCCTCCATAAAGCTGGGCAGGCTGTGTGGGCACAGAACAATATAACCCCCAAATCCTGCTTCTAAATTGGAGGTGAAAGCCTGCTGCTGTGGGAGGGCTCCCTGGCTGCCCAAGGACAAACATGTAGAATGGGACTGGTAGGGCAGCTTGGGTGGCCAAGGCACACGCCTGTGTCCTGCTGTACCAGCAGTCCTAGGCTGCAGCACTGAGCTGGCGAGGAGATACGGGTGTAGGGGTCACCCTTTTTGAGCTTAGGGAAGGCAGCTCTCCCTCAGAGTCGCACAAAGCTTGGTGAAAGCCACCGCCTCCTCTCTCCACCGCATGGGAGCTGGTTACTCATCTCATCTCTGCACCCGAACAGCCACTGCCGCTAAAAATAGCCCCCCAGCCGTGGGCCAGCCCCTCCTGCACCCCAACCCCATGGAAACCAGCAGAGTGGCAGGCAGAGACCTTGAGTTCCATTCTCACGCACTCTATGTTGGGGAAACTGAAATCTGAGGCAGGAAGCCAGGGGCAGAACCCTGGTGGTCAGGCAACCTGACAAGCAGGAGAGTAAAGGGTTAAAACGGCAGGAAGGTTGAAGAAACAGGGACGGGGGAGGGGGCACTGTCAGCTTGGCAAGAATCATAAGTCCCTCCCCCGCCCACTCGTGCGATCCCATCAGGCTTGGGGGACAACAGCAGTGGGAAGGGGCGTCCAATCCCGGGCCCCAGGGGGCGGCCGTGCACATGGGGGAGGTAGCAGCGCGGAGCAGTCCGCGCGGTGTCACATGCGCGCGCACACACAGAGACAGGCACACACACGTGTGCCCGGGTATATATAGTTCCCAGTCCCCGGGCCCGCGGCTCTGCAGTGGGCGCCGGCTCCCTGGGCTGGGAGGGGGCTCCTGGGGCGGGTGGGAGGGTGGGGGGCCGGGGTGGGGTGGGGCAGGATGCTGGATGGCCCACTGTTCTCCGAGGGGCCTGACAGCCCCCGGGAGCTCCAGGATGAGGAGTCTGGCAGCTGCCTCTGGGTGCAGAAGTCCAAGCTATTGGTGATAGAAGTGAAGACTATTTCCTGTCATTATAGTCGCCGCGCCCCTTCTCGACAGCCCATGGACTTCCAGGCCAGCCACTGGGCTCGCGGGTTCCAGAACCGCACGTGAGTGAAGCAGGGGTGAGGGGAAGAGAGTGGTGGGGCGGGGAGTGGGGTCCGGACCACCCCGCAGGCACCAGCGAGCACTACTGATCCCCCTTCTCTTTCCCACGCCTCCCACCCCTGCCCGCTCCCGAAGGCTGGGGCCTGACTCATCCGGTTGTTTGGGGGAACAGGAGTGGGTGTGAGAAAGGGCAGGAGGTGAGATGGGGCAGACGCTGTTAAAGTGTGCAGGCAGAGATGGCGAGGAGTCCCGCTTCGACTTCAGTCCTAACATATACGCACGTGCACACGCGCACACACTCACACACACCCCTTCACATGGCTGCCCCAAGTGGTCTCCACTGCTCCCAGCTCCCCGGACCTCGGCTCCCTTCCCCCACAGACTGCTCACCTGGGTTCCTGCTCATTGTCCCAGGTGTGGGCCGCGCCCGGGATCCCCACAGCCGCCGCCCCGCCGGCCCTGGGCCTCCAGGGTGCTGCAGGAGGCGACCAACTGGCGGGCGGGGCCCCTGGCCGAGGTCCGAGCTCGGGAGCAAGAGAAAAGGAAAGCGGCGTCGCAGGAGCGGGAGGCCAAGGAGACCGAGCGAAAAAGGCGCAAGGCTGGTGGGGCCCGACGAAGCCCCCCGGGTCGGCCCCGCCCGGAGCCCCGCAACGCCCCTCGGGCAGCCCAGCCGGCAGGGCTCCCTGCTACCTTGCGGCCGGAGCGCCTGGCGCTGGTGGGGCGAGCGCCCCGTCCATCCGCGCAGCCGCAGAGCGACCCAGGGTCGGCGTGGGCGGGGCCCTGGGGAGGTCGGCGGCCGGGGCCCCCAAGCTACGAGGCTCACCTGCTGCTGAGAGGTTCTGCCGGGACCGCCCCGCGACGCCGCTGGGACCGGCCGCCACCCTACGTGGCTCCACCTTCTTACGAAGGCCCCCATAGGACCTTGGGGACTAAGAGAGGCCCCGGACACTCCCAGGTGCCCACTTCATCAGCCCCACCTCCGACTCCGGCCAGGACAGAGGGAGGGCGCACAAAGAAGAGGCTGGATCCTCGGATCTACCGGGACGTCCTCGGGGCTTGGGGTCTCCGACAGGGGCAAGGTCTCTTGGGGGGATCCCCAGGCTGTGGAGCGGCCAGAGCAAGGCCAGAGCCCGGCAAGGGGGTCGTGGAGAAAAGCCTGGGGCTGGCTGCTGCTGACTTGAACAGTGGTAGCGACAGCCATCCCCAAGCCAAAGCTACAGGGAGCGCAGGCACCGAGACAACTCCTGCGGGGTCTGCAACTGCGGCTCCCAGTGCCCCGCGTCCCGCTCCCAGATCCAGGCACCACCTCAAGGGCTCGAGGGAAGGGAAAGAAGGAAAAGAACAGATCTGGTTCCCTAAATGCTGGATTCCCTCCCCTAAAAAGCAGCCGCCCCGCCATAGCCAGACACTCCCCAGACCCTGGGCTCCCGGAGGCACCGGATGGAGA